TATAGTCTAAAAGAATATGAGTTTAGTTTCTCTGAATAGATAAAATTTCATTCTGAGGTCATGGTTGCGGCTTGCTGGCGAATTCAACGGACAACATATTATTTAAATAATACCCACAGCCTATATTTACGGCTGCGTTGAATTATGCAAAATAATTAACAGCATTTTGCATCCTTGATAAAGCATTATTAATATAATATTATTTTATTTTCTACACCCTAAAATAATTGTAATTATATTGTTTTGTACAAATCTGTTTTTTTTTTCAGTATTTGTACGACCTACTCATGAACCTACTAGAAGAGAAGGGAATAAGCAATGAATTCGCGCAGAAGCTGTCAGACTTCAGTACTGCCTACGAGCACACGGCGTACATCAATCTTCTGGAGTCCATATCTAAATTCACCATCGGAAAATAATGTAACTTCAAACTAAAATTTTAAATATCATACAAACATTTCATTTTTTTTAAATAACTTGTTTCAAATTATATAATTTTTATTTGCTAGTTCTGTACAATTAAAATTTCGAAAATCGAATTGCTACAGATCCAACAACAGTACAATTATAATAAATGGCGGGAATTTTGACAGTTACATTGTGCTGCATTTGTTGATTTTAAGTAAAACATTTATTTTGTTCATATTTACAATGATAGTCTTCACTGATGTAGGTTTTTTTCCTTCTGTTTAACACACCGAATGTATGAAAACGGATAGTATTTTAGTTGTGGTCGGAGGAAGTTTTTGTGCTAGTACAGCTTTAAGTTAGTTAGTGGACGTTCGTCTGTTAATTGTTCTAGTGTTAATGTTAGTTATGTCTCAATAAAAAAGTTCAAATTAATGGCTGTTTCATTTTAAACTATTGGTGATCAGTATGCTTAGTGCGAGTTTTTTAACGTTCTCGATAGCGTAAAAGTTAACCCAATTTTGTATGCATTTGGAACAGCGCCCCTAACGGAAAATGTAGGCAAACGATCCCATTCCATACAAATCGATGCCTCCAATGAACACTACTCTCTCAAAATTTTGAAATTTTCGTTTTTCACGCAAATCGCTTCACTATTTTAAAAGTATTACAAATTCATTATTGATGGGGTTCGAAGCAAGAGTAAATCAGCTAGTTACACAAGCAAAAACCATAAATATATCTGCAATAATAAAGATTTTATCAACTTTTTTCGTTTAAACTCTCCCCCTGTAAACCTACGAATTTGGAGTTAGAGCAGTGTTCATTGGAGGCATCGAAATATGAGCTAACTTTTACGCTATCGAGAACGTTAAAAAACTCGCAATAAGCACACCGTATTTTATAGTACCTACCTGCCTGCGGGATTCGAACACCGTTCTAGTTGTATCGCTCGATACGAATGAACCAAGCGTCCCTTACTTTAACCCTTTTAGTCAGCACTAAAAGTGTTAAAGTACAAGTTTATTTTAACATGTTTTGCAGAAATTGCTAGAGAATTTAAAAAAAAGTACCTTGTCATAAAGCCTTTAACTTAAATACAAAAAGCAAAACTAGATTCACAGTAAAATAACTTTAAATGTTATTCATAAATAAATTTTTAAATAGCATATAAAAATAAAGTCGATACCTACCTATATTCAAACGGCGCAGTAGTCGGTATTCCGATGCTCTGCACTTTACGCATTAGTAGAGTCTGTGTACAGATTTCTCAATTCTAATATAGCTTATCTATATTGTTTTGACTCGTATTGTGCATTGTAATAGTGGACAACTTTATATATTAACCGAGCGTTGACACTTATTTCACTGTGATTGCCATTTTTATCTTCAGAAACGTCCGTGGACAAATCTGCGAGGCACTCTGTGTAGGTATACTTGATAAGTTATTATGTCGCTCACTTCGGGCAGTTCATAATTTCTCTTTTTTTTTTATTTTTATTGCCCTTGTACGAGCATACGGCCCACCTGATGGTGAGTGTTTACCGTCGCCTATGGACTTCAGCAATGCTAGGGGCAGAGCCAAGCCGCTGCCTACCGCTTAATACTCTCCATAAGCCTCGTTTGAAGGAGGACATGTCATAGCACTCGAGAAACACCGTGGAGGGGAGCTCATTCCATAGCCGGATGGTACGTGGCAAAAAAGACCTCTGGAAACGCACTGTGGGTGACCGCAGTGGCTCCAGGTAGTATGGATGAACTCTACTCCGGTGGCGGGCGGTGCGATGGTAAAAACGAGATGCCGGTATCATCTCGAACAATTGCTCAGAGCACTCCCCATGGAACATACGATACAAAATACAGAGGGAACCGAAGTCCCTCCGCAGACCCAGAGGTTCCAAACGATCCGTGAGAATGGATGTATCAAAGTATGCACCTAATACATTTTCACAAACGCCTTACACTATGAAGGTTTCATTCCTGTATAAATATAAATACGAAGCCATAGTCCACCAGGGCAAAATAGTTTGCTGCCACATTTCGTATTCATCTCCAAATTTATTTCTAAAGCATTTTAAAGTTTAGAACCAATAAAAACTACAGAGTATGCATGCGGATAAAATGGATACGAACGTTTAGAACGGACTTTCAATACGAAGTCCGTTCTGTGAATGAACGCAGTGGTTATAGGTAGTATGGATGAACTCTACTCCGGTAGCGGGAGGTGCGATGGTAAAACCGAGATCATGGTATCATCTCAAATAATTCCTCAGAGCACTCCCCGTGAAACATACGGTACAAAATACAGAGGGAACCGAAGTCCCTCCAAAGACCCAGAGGGTCCAAACGATCAGTGAGAATGGGACTGTAGACAATGCGAACGGCCTTCTTCTGTATGTAATCAAATAGATAAAAGTAGCTGGTACCTATTTGGGAGCCCCAGCGCAAGGGTAAGATAACTATTCCACGCGAGGCCGGACTTGTGCTTTGTAAAGGAAAAGTCTTTGTCTAGACGTGAAGTATCATGCTGAACAGATAACATGTCATTGATAATTAATTGATATACAGGATGAAATTCGTGGGGGAGAGCACCGAACCATAAGGAACGCTAGACTGTAATGCTCCGCCCATCCCTTTTCAGGATATTATCAAAATAACCCTTCAACTAATATCTGTTCATAAAATATTTATAGCTACTGATACCATGCACCCCACACTTTTTTTACAATAAAATAATTTTTTGTTACACTATTTTTAATTCAAATTTATTTTCTATTTTTTAGTTGGATTTTGTATAAAAGCGTATTTTGTTAGTTTTTTTAAACTATTATTTATTTTTAATTTTTTAGTTGAATTTAAATTATTTCAACATTTTTTTTAAATATTGAATTGTCATCGGTCCTTAATAAGCGCGTTAATCCGACGTTTTGAAGGGAGTCAGAATCATGTTCAAAGATTCCGTTACAAGCATACATACTTCTGAAGCTAATAAAAGCGTATTAAAAAGAAAAGGAAGAATGAAAGATGACAATGACAAAATGTAGAGAAGAAATAATACATGTCAAAGGCATTTTAAAATCGATTAAGACATTAACATAGTAAATACACTTAATATTTATAAGACATTAATATGAATGCTATATAGATAAGCGTGACTAATTAAAGGTAGCCTACATGAAATGTCTTCAATATAAATGTTTATAATAATAGCGTAACCATGAAAGTGATTTATAGCACAACAAAATTATTTGCCGCGATAAAGAGGTTGCGTTTTTATTCCAAACGGTGTAGGTATCTTATCTGTAGTACATTTTACTGCTGCTATTATGTTATTGGGGATATACAAATAATGAAACTTGGTACAACATCGTGGCTGATAAAGCACTATTTACATAGATTACTATCTAGGTCTTTAATTAATCCATTTTTAAAGCGTACATAGCGTGACAGGAAATGTTTGGTTTTACCTATATATATATGTACATATATCTTGTATGAATATGTTGATTGTCGAAGAAAGGATTATATCTGCAACATGCGCAAAATACTCATGATCGTCCTGAGCTATTAGACCTCCACTTGGACTGCTAGGCATCTCCCGAGCTTGGCCACAGTGATCGGTCCTGTACTGCGCGCGTCCTTAAGATATGTAATTTGTGCCGTATGTTCCATGGGGAGTGCTCTGAGGAATTGTTTAAGATAATCCTATCATCTCATTTTTACCATCGCACCGCCCGCCACCGGAATAGAGTTCATCCATACTACCTGGAGCCGCTGCGTTCATCCACAGTGCGTTTACAGAGATCTTTTTTGCCACGTACCATCCGGCTTTGGAATCCAGAATGAGCTCCCCTCCACGGTGCTTCCCAAGCGCTATGTCATGTCCTTCAAACAAGGCTTGTGGAGAATGCTTAATGGTAGGCAACGGCTTGGCTCTGGCCCTGGCATTGCTGACGTCCATGGGCGGTAACCACTCACCTTCAGGTGGGCCGTATGCTCGTCTGCCTACAAGAGCAATAAACATTTTTTTAAGAGATATTAAAATTGAGACTCTAGAGATTAAAAATGCGTCAATGAAAAATATCTATTCGTGATATTGCATTAGTAAAAAGTAATGAAATTAAGTAAAAATAAGGATTTCATATCACAGTGAACGTTTATCAGTATAGATAATATGATATGTGCAAGACACGACATGCGTAAGCATATAATTAATTTCAGTCAGCATATAAAAAACAAACGACATGTTCCATTTTGCTCAAAAGTTACCGCGATCACGACGGTACGGTCGCTACAAGGCGTTCTTTCAAGTCAGCTGATGACCACTACGCGATCAGCTGTTCAGTAAAATCGATTATGGCCGTCGCTATACATCTCTCTCACTCGAAAATGCTTTGTTTCTTATCAATTTGAGATCGCAAATTGTCAGGCAAGGTCACCCAAATTCTACAGTTATTTTCATTTATTGACGCCTTAAAGTTAATATCGTCCAATAGTGTTACAGCTTATAAGCAAGCCTGGAAACATGCTTGATTCCAACCAATAACGTCCCGTCTATTGACTGACCTGAACATCGTACGGGAGCTGTTGTCATATTCGTTGGCGAAATGAAGCGAGTTTTGTGGTACATCGCCAAGATGGCTGACGCGTCGCCGCCGTTACCTGCGAAGAAAATACCCGAAAATTTATACGAACTGTGCCTGACGAATTTAGTGAATTTTTGGTACAAATCAAAGTGTTACAAAAAGGTCTTGCGTTTACTTCCAGATACAGTGGTCATGGACGTTTATTACAAGGTAAGTTGTGGGCTACGGTACATTTTTTAATCGTTTTTGGATCTAATGGATTCGAAACATTGTAATAATCGAGTTAAACCTGCACATATACATATATTTTGTTTTGATACAGTTCCCGATACATAATTTGGTAGTTTTATGTGTTCTGGTGTATTGTTTTTTAGTACTGTTGTCAAACCACGAGAATAAGTAGGTTTGCGTGCGATAGCACTTTCACTGTTGCTGGTTGGTTGCACGTAATTCTTCACACAAACATTTTCTTTGTTCCCGTGTGGGCAATTCGATATTACAAACTGATTACTTTGATGGACGGTTTTATTGTTTTGATTACCTATTAAATTCGTATTTTACGTAATATAGAAAACATTACTAAAGTCCTTACCCCTGTTTGATAACGTACTCACATCGGTTCACATCACACACCCATCTTCTGTTTATTGTTTATCAGATCCCCGACATGGCAACGTCCACCGCCAGTCACCTAGACATATGCCGAAGTCTNACTGATTACTTTGATGGACGGTTTTATTGTTTTGATTACCTATTAAATTCGTATTTTACGTAATATAGAAAACATTACTAAAGTCCTTACCCCTGTTTGATAACGTACTCACATCGGTTCACATCACACACCCATCTTCTGTTTATTGTTTATCAGATCCCCGACATGGCAACGTCCACCGCCAGTCACCTAGACATATTCCGAAGTCTCGGCTGAGTTATATTTTCTAAAATTACATAATTTTTTTACTCTATTACACAATTCAACAAGAACTCCTTTCGATATAAATATTGTTTCACAATCAAACATTATCTACCAAATGCCAATTAGAAAAAAAAAAAGGTTTCCGTCTGCGCTGGACCACGTGGTCCATACTTTATATAGCATGGACGAAGTCCCGTGTTCAATAGTGGGATGAAAGGTAGCTTATGTTCTTTCTCAAGGTTCAAACTATTTCCACACCGAATTTGATAAAAATTAGTTCAGTGATTAGGACCTGAAAACGTTATAGACAATACTTTCGTAATGTAACCTATAAGTAAAGAACTAACTGAAAAATATCTAAATATCTTTAAATGACGATTTTTTTGGCAACATTCGATTTTATTTCTGCTATAAATTAATCTCTGCCTATGACCTACCTAAACTATAAGCGTGCGTTGGTTTCGGAGATGTTTGCGAACAAACTGATACACAGGAAATAATTCTAAAAATAGCTGGTTTTCGGTTTATTATACTCTACCTTAGGTAGGTATCTGTTTACTTTTCTTCGATGCCCAGACGTACTGTCTGTTTTCTTATGTGTGTATTGATCAATGTTCTTTTAACCTTCGTTGTATCTTATAGAAAGTGCTTAAAATATCGTAAGACTACGATTTTTCTAATACAGTGTCGATCTGTATCACATCCTCATTTCATTAGCTGGGTCCTTCTCAGTCGGACAGTCTTGTCAGAGTGGTCGTGGTTGCGCTGACGGTGTAAATGCAGAAGTACCCGTTAGGTCGCCCATGCTTCCAAGGACCGCCCTCCCAATGCGCTTCCAGGTCTGGTGGTTCGAAGCGTTTCGAGTAAGTACATGAGCTGGGTTAGTCTACACTAATGTCCCAAAGATACCGCGCTCATGACCCGTAGATATTATACGTGGTTCTCAATCCAGGGGACGCAGTTTGACGACTGGATATGCTTTTTACGGTATATACCGGTGTTTCCCAACGTGGGCCCCGCGCCCCACAAGGGGGCAATTTGATATTAAGGGGGCAATCAAACTAAATTAATATAGGAAAACTTTATTAAAATTATTTTGAATTTAGAATTTCAGTTTTTTATTATGATTATTATTGTTATTATGTTTTGAAATATTAATTACTGTGTTCTGATAATAATTTAATAGTGATTTCTTCCTAAAACCTATCATTTATGTTTCTTAAGTGAACAAATCAATTTTTTAATGTTAAAAACTATGTATGGGTGGCGTAAAAATTTTAGAAATGTTACAGTGGGGCATAGCACAAAAAAGGTTGGGATACACTGGTCTATACGGTCCCTAGCATTGGACGTCTGTGCGCTGATGATGAGATGAAAGTAGCTTGCTATACCCTCACATGGCTTACTCGACACAAACCACTTCAGTCTGTACCGATATGAATGAGGTTGCGAATAAAAGGTAACTTAGACTTGGATTATATTTAACAGAAACTATATCTGAGGTGACTGACCTATTCTGAGTCACAAAATTGTATAAAGCATCCGATCAAGCAGTTACGAATCAATAAAAAGATTTGAAACAATGAGCACATTTCTTCAATAGTACTCGTTAAGATATTCATAATGAGTGTAAAAAGCTTAACGATTGTGTTAACTAATTGTAGCCTGTGTAACGCTGTGTATGTTCTGTCTCTTTCTGTCGAGCGTGAGGCTGACAATGGAAAAGATATGCTGTATATATTGGTGGTCTACATTTATTTTCCTCACGTCCTTACGGATCCATCAGATCCAATAACATTCGCATTAGACGCCTTCAGCTCTAACACTAGGAGCAGGCATAGGGACCTCGGTAACCGTAATCGTCGAACTCGACAAAGAGTTCGCCGTGCAACCTAACCCATGAATCAGCTCGTTGAGTTTCTCGCCGGATCTTCTCAGCGGGTCGCGATTCCGATCCCGTAGTAGATTCATTCGCGAAGCAGCTACTCTTGAGCTGTTAGGTCTCCTTCGGAGGCGCTCAGGTAGCTGTTAGCAAATCCCACCCCTCCTGGCTGAGCCTTTGCTCGCCCACCTGTCCTGGTGAAACTGGAAAGGCCCCCGGGCCACCAGTAATCCTTCAATCATAAAAAAAAAAAAAAATCATTAATAAGCCTGTACGAGTTTGCAGATACACATTGTCAAGTTCGATGATAATGCAAACGTTTAGAAATCAATTGAAATATAGTCGATTACAAACAAAGGATACCACTTACTATTCTTGTGTAGTGTACTATATAAAGCGTACAAAGTATACGGTACACATTGCGGTTAATGACGTCATCGTGAAATCGCTTAGTTTACATCTCATTACGCTGTTATATTTTTATCTAGTGTTCGCCCAGTAGTCGAAAAACTCAACACTGCTCTTTTGTTTTATTATTGAATTATACTGTTGTTAAATTTTATGTTGATAACACTAAAACTCGCGAATAGCTGCTGAACTAAAAAAATATATGTTGATTTATTGATCAAAGCAGAATACGTTGGACTTTTTGCCTTTGACTACTTATATGTATAGGGATGTTTTATACAAAATTATATCCCGTCCGGGCGTAGATGGAATAGCCTCTTACACTACCAGCCAATAGGTAGGAAAAACTATGTCTAGAGCATGAGACAAAGTATACACATCCCTAAAATTGATTTTGTCGATACGCAAAATCTATTGACCAAAGTTTGGTCAATAGATTTTGTGAGTAGCAAGGCCCAATCGGGGTAAAAGTTGGGATTTTAGGTGTTAGATGTCTCCAAACTCCAATACTAGTGCTAAACTCGTGTGAGCGATTTAGGATTGGAAATAAGAGATTAAGGTTACGACTTATTTTAAGGGTCGAAGTTTCAGACAACTATAGTCTGATAGTGGCAACATATAATGTGAGAACCTTATCAACAAGTCACCGATTAATAGAACTGATTGACTCTTTGAAAAACACAACATATGACGTAGTCGGCCTCTCTGAGGTCCGACGTGTCGGAACATCGGTGAGGGAGTACGACGATTTCATATTTTGTTATAAGGGGGAAACACGAGGATTATATGGTGTTGGCTTTATTGTAAAGAAATATCTCAAAAGAAACATCGTCAGTTTTAATGGAATATCAGAGCGAGTAGCTCTTCTAAAACTAAACTTAAACGGATATCAACTAAATATACTACAAGTCTATGCACCCACAGAGGCTTCGAATGAAGACGAGGTGGAACGGTTCTATGATACTATCAATGAAACTTTAAGAAAGACAGGTAAGAACATAATAGTTATGGGCGACTTTAACTCTAAAATTGGGAATCCTAGACCAGAAGAGAGCCTGATAATGAAAAATCATGGATATGGCGTGAGAAATAATAGAGGTGAGCGCCTGATTGATTTTGCATACGAAAATAAACTGAGCATTACAAACACCTTCTTCAAAAAACCAAAAAATCTAAGATGGACCTGGAGATCTCCAGATGGAAATACAAAGAATGAAATCGATTACATATTAACAAATCTGGATAAAAATGTTCTAAATGTGCAAGTCTTAAATGTGAACTTTCCCACCGACCATAGACTTGTAAGGGCAACTTTTATACTACAAAAAATTACGAAAAGCCGTGCAAAATACACAAACTGTTTAGGAAAAACATTGAAAACCGAGATGGAAATATCATCATACAAACTATGTTTAGAAAAGCAAGAAGAGCAACTGCAAAATAAAGAGGATGCTACTATACAAGAAAACTACGATAATATAATTCGAGGCATAGAAAAAAGTCTACGTAGCGCACAAAACACCCAAAAACACACTACTAAACCTAGTGTAATATCAGCCTATACTAGGAAACTCATGGAGCGGAGACAGCAACTACATGTAACCAAACCAAAAACAAGAGCATTGAAAAATGAACTAAAAGCTTTATATAAACTCATAAGTAAGAACATAAGGAGAGACTACATGCTCCATCGATCAAAAACATTTGAAAAACATATAAGTACTACTGGGAGCATTAAAAAGGCGTACAAGGAGCTAATTACCTACAAGCCTTGGATTAAACAACTAAAAGAGTCAGATAAACTATCACATAATAGGACTGATATTATGAAAACCGCAACCAATTTCTACAAAAAACTGTATGATTGTCAAGTCCAAAACTTTACAAATATATCTGTCAGCACCAGCATACAATTACCAGCGGAAGACGTCTCACAGATAAAAAAGATAGATGATTTAGAAGTTATAGAAGGAATAAAAAAACTTAAAGCTGAAAAATGTCCAG